GGGTTCCCCACACACACACACACACAAAAAAAAAAAGAGCATCTCTTAGCAAACACCCTCGCTGCGCAGCCCATATCGAAGCCAAGGCGCAAGGCTCGCATCACCAGCTCCGCCCATGGAAGGCCAAAGAAAACGAGGGGTCAGGTGTTTGGTCAAGCAGCTGGCGAGGTATCGGGTGCAGGGACTGCAGCCTGACGGGTGTAGGCCTTGTCACTTCTCTACCTTGCGCAGGTGCTGCACTGAAAACTCTAAAGTGCTTCTGCATGCATGTGGCGGATACAGTTGCGTGGCGTGAGTTCAGTTTCGCACTTTCTGCCGTGTGTCTTTGCTGTCAACAGGTACTATATGACAGTGATGGCCACACTTACGGGTGTGGCACTCCACATGCAAGCAAGTCGTCTCCGACGACGCTTGAGCCACAGCTGGTAGGAAGTATCGAACATATCCTTGACCCTTGATTCCGGTCTGCACCTCTCAAAATTATTGGGGAGCTTCGAAGGCACTGGTGCTCGTCTGCAGCATGCGTGCAGGGTTGGGTTTAGGCTAGGCCCGGCTTGAGATTAAGCTTTGGTGTTCAGGTTTCCGGCAAGGCGTGACCCCTCAACACCCTTCAGGCCCAGCACCTTTTGTAGACGTGCTGGATCTCGTCCTGTACCTCTCTTTGTGGCATCGAGGGGATTCCAAGATCATAGGCAACCCCGAGCTGAAGCTCGCCGGGCCTTCCGGAAGCAGCCCATGAACTTCTCCCGCCTCCCGCGGAAAACTTTGCTTCTGCTCTCAACTGGAAGCTTCAAGTTGGACAGGGTCATGTTTTCTTTACGGATGTTGCTGCAGTCGTGGCAGCTGCGCTGGTCTTTGCTCGAGTCTGTTTTGACTGCCCCGCGAGGGAGCTTTGACCATGGCATTCCTCAAAATCTCCGGTCACGGCACCGACCGATGCCGAATAGCTTAAAGCTGCCCGGAAGACTTGAAGAGTAGCTGCAGGTGATTGCACTCTTTCTGTCCTTCTCCCAAACCGGCAGCAAAACGAAAGCCTACATCACGAATTCCCAGCATCCCCGACATCCCGACACCCTCCTGCACCAAGCCCGAAACCCTAAAGCCTCGGAATCCCGGAGTGCCAGACTAAGGCCCCCGAACTCCTTCAATCCCAAGCGAAAGAATCCTGAAAAAGTTGAAACAGTGCTATCTTCAGCATGCTTTCCAGGCGCACGCAACTCCAGCACCAGGTATCTTTAATCCTTGCCTTAACTTCCGGAGTTCATGGCAAAAACCAAGCCTCTCTTGGGCTTACAGAGGCTACGATGGGTTTAACCCCCGAGCTGACCCGACACCCTTATATCCCTCCAAAACCTTAGAGCAGGCCATCGCTCACAAAAAAAAAGGCAAACCCTACAAGCCCGAAACAGAAACAATCCCGGAAGCCCTACAAAAGCCCCAAGTAAGCCCATACTACTACTCGCTATACCGACCCCGAGAACTATGCAAAACCCCAAGCTGCCGGAAGCCGGGGAAAGGGTCCTTGCGGTCCGAACTGTTTCGAAGCTCCGGTCTGCTTCCTAGACCGACGATGGTGGTTCGGGCATTTCCCTTGTTGAGCCTTGTAGGGTTCTTTTTGTTGGACTTTCCGGTGTTTTAATGAATGTTTTGGAATTACTGTATGGGGCTTCGCAAGCTTTTGTAAGGTAAGGATTTTGGTGCTGCTGGTGGCAAGGTTGAGGAGTGTTGGGCTTCGGGGCCGGGATTGCAGACTGACGAGGCCATGGCCAGCAACCCTAAACCCTGATGGAACCCGAAGCAGACTCCAGCAATGCTACGAGCCCAAAAGATCGGGTCTCGAAACCCAGGAAACCCACGGCCGTGGCAATTTCGAAGCCAAAGAACCCTTTCCGTAGCCATAATAGCAACCCACAGCAGCAGCCCAAAAGGCAACCCTTATAGTAGCCACTATGTATTTTGATAACCCTTATCGCAAGCCTTGTCTATTCTAGTAAACCTTGTAGTACCCCTTATTCATTGTGACAACCCTTCTGGTAACCGGTATTCACTCTAGGAACCTTTGCAGTAACCCTTATCCATTATAGCAATGCTTATAGTAGCCCTTACACAATGTTCCAACCCTAGCACTGAACCCTACAGTGTCCCTGGTAGTTCCCCCCTACAAACAGCTGCCCGCCTCCACCCGCTTCCGAGCCTTCTGAGCCTCGCAGGAATCCCAAACGAAACGAGGCCTGTGCCGAATAAGGAGCCCTGAACCTTCGAAGAGTTCCAGAGTCTTAGGAACATATTTAGGGTCGAAGGTCTCGGGTGTAGGTTTTATGGTTTGGAGTTTACGATTAGCTGGGCTTAGAAGCCACTTAGTCAGCAATGTGTTGACGAACTAGCAAACCCACCCGCCCAACGAATCCCACAACATTAAGAAAGCAGAAAGTTTTTCACGTTCTCACTCAACAGCAAGACACTGACTACGACGGAAACATGTCACATGCCAACATCTTCATCCAAACACAAGTATGCAGGTAGTCATCGCGACGTGCTTTGGGGATGTCAGTCGTGGTCGATATCTCAAACGCCCCAAACGCTAACGGCTAGGCCCCAAGTAGGCCCTAAACCCGAAAGGCTAGCCCAGTGGGCCCTGAACCCTGGAAGCCGGTACATGCTGAACAGTTCGTGGGCAGGCCACAAAATCTTTGAAAACACGCCTTGACCACGAAGTGCTTAGGGTTTAAATACATTAGAAAAGAGAGGTTCAGATTTTAGGGTTTGGCAAGGTTTAAGCTTCGGGTTTGTGGCTCCCCTCCTTTGCTGAAACGCTTTTGGCTTCCTGTGATTGATTCTAAGTCAGTTCAGGTGACACAAGTTCTCCCATCCACAAAGCCTCAAAGCCCTCTAGTTTGAGGTGCTACAGCAGTCTCAGTTTCATCATGCATGTAACCAGAAAGCTGGTAACAACAAGGTAGGGTTCAGCTTTGCATCAAGCAGACACCGAGTTTCTATCCCCAATTGACCCTGTAGCATGGGAAGCTCCGCTTGCAGCCAACGGCCTAAGTGAAGTTGGCGCTAGACTCTAGACACAACCAACAGGCAACAAGCCCGTGCTCCTCCCCGGCTTCAACTCAGACTGACGATCTTCTCAACTATGAGTCTCCTCACGTTCAGATGCCCGAAAGCCCCAGAAGCCATGACAGCCAAAACCGCCCCTTGGCTTCGTCGACTCCTGCCCTGCCTCGCGCTCCGCATGCAGTGCCTCTTGGTCGATGGCCTCCAATTGAGCAATGGCCTGCACGCGGCTGGAGTCCCTACTCCCCCTCATTTGTAGTTAGAGGGCCTTTCGCAGCATCCTCAGTTAAGCAACGCTGGACGCAGCATGGTCTTACCTTGCGGCTTCAGTAACGGACCCGTCTGCCGGCAAAAGGAGGACACAAAAGACACCCGACCAATAAAAGAGAGCACCGCCCCCTGCCCCCTCCTTCAGGTTGGGCTTCAGCTGCTCCAGGTCCACTGCCAAACCTCAGCCGTTCGGACCGCTCGAATAATTTACCATGCAGAAGAAAAACTAATACTCATGATCATAATCATAAGGATAATTACAATATTGCTGTTCATATTTGATATTAATATTATAGTGAGGGTTGAAGGGAGTCTCTGCGGCTCCAGACCTCTGTCGCATCATGGAGACAGTGCTACCCTGGAGCAGCAATCCCAAGCTTTGCAGCCTTTGCACACACAAGACACACAAGACAGGCCCTAAAGACTGCCAAACCACTAACCAAACACCAGCACTCCGAAGCACATCCCATGACCCCGACCAGCCTAAAGGCAGCCCAAAGTTCAAAAAAACTCAACTCTCATTGTAAGCCAAAGCAACAACAGAAAATGATATTCAAACCCCCAAACCCGCCAACCCGAAGCCCCAAACCCCAGACCCCCAAAAGAGACCCTCCACACTGACCCTACATGCTGCACCCCATTAAGGGAGGCTCCAACACTGGGCGACCCCACGCCGGAGCTCGGCGCGGTACTCGTCCTCCAGCAGCTTTGTCGCCGGGCCTTGACAAGGAAGGCAGGCACACAGATTTGAGCCTGGGGGAGTTGCGATTTCGAGTTGAAGTGTCAGTGCTTCGGGTCCTTTTTCGGGCGATGGCACGGCGATGGCTCGGGGGCACGAGGGCGCTCTACAAAGGACCCAGAAGCTGACCACTCATGCCGAACCGGATGATGGGTTTGATGGTTCAGCCGCTCTAGATTTTAGCGCAGCTGTCCATGCCACTCCCACCCAAACCGTGTGTCCAGGACCCTGCTCAACGAGAAAAACAAAGGCTAAGGCTAAGGACTATGACGATGATTCGAATTCAGGACCGAACCGATTTAAACACAAGCAACCCCCTAAAGAGATGCTCTCCAAGCCTCGTGTCGCTACAGCTCCCCGAAAGCCCATGAACCTCAGGCCTCCCGTGGCCGCCTTTCGCTTGGCCTGTCCACGGAACCGGTGGACCCAAAAATCCTCAAGGAATTCACAGCCGTTCAACTATATCTTGAGCCTGGACCTGTTTTACATCCGAGGTAAACTACAGCTAGCCAGGTCTCCATCACATGAGCTCAAAATGACGGAGGTTACATGTAATGCCCAAACCTCGTGATCTTGCACAAATCAGCCGAAGGAGTAGGGAACATTGATGCGACCAAGTCGTGCCACGACCATGCGAGAGTGGCGAACACTGCTGAGGGAGCAGGGAGGTTAAGTCTTACGGTTGAGCTATGGTGCCGTTCGTATCTGACCTTGCCAGGGTACTGTAGTGGGCATATCTGACGGATTCTGAAGGGGTGGCACGACTAGTATCCTGGTTCTGTAACCCAAACTTCTGAATGTCGTCTACCCTCAACGTCCCAATAACTGCGACTACTAGTAAGTGCCCAGGCGTCAGAGGTGGTTGCTCCGTCCACAGGCCATCATCACCATCGCCTCTTCGTCATCGAACACAACAACAACAACATCATCATCATCATCATCATCATGATCATGATCATCACCAGCAGCAGCAGAAGCAGCAGCAGCAGCAGCAGCAGCCTCGCAGCCATGACAAGAACGGCCGGAGTAACAGCAGCAATGTCTCCAAAGCCCTACAATACCTACTTCGTCACTGTCGTATGGACATGCTTCGAAGTCCAAGGTCCATTTTGCCGGACCTGTGGCAGCTTGCTGAAGTCGACGCGCAGCTCCGCGGCAGCCTCCGCCGGAGAAGACCTGCCGGGAGACTTAGCTTAGGGCTTAGGGCTGGCAGATGATCTTTGCGTTTGAGGGTTTAGCACTAATTAGCAGCGCAAGGTCGTCTCCGTCTGCAGGTTTTGGAAACAGACGCTGCGCCCGGCAGTTGGGTGGTTTCAGGACGTTATGCAATTTTTGTCCACACTGCTTGGGCAAAGCTTCATGCGCTCGCCGAGAACCCCAAAAATAACATGGACCGAATACCATTTGTGCGAACCCAAGAACCAAGAACCGAGATGCATGGACTCGAGACCTTGGATGTGCACCACGAACCCCAGATCGTAGACCCCCAACAAGTCCTTGAAAACATCAACGCAAAGCCCTGGACCCTAAAACCCTCAATGTGCCCTGGCTCCCAATCTAGAATTCTAAGCCTCAAACACTTAATCCCAATCGCCCCACTTTCCCAGGTCGAGTGGCGCGTCCAAGTCCGCAACCAGGGCCTGGGCAGTAGCTTTGGGCTGCGGTACTCGGAAAGACTTCTTGCGCGATGTTGTGGGCATGATGGGCCTTGGGAGGGCTGAGTGCTGACCCTCATGTACTCGTGCACCTTTCGGGAAGCTGAACACTACCAGTCACTACCAGAAGTGTACGAGCGAAGACGGTGCCTCCCACGCATCCGACACTTTGTTGACGCTTTTCTGGACTCCGAAATGAAGACCTTGCATGACTCAACTGAGCCGAGCCGCAGAAAGCTTCTTCGCGGCATTCTTCGCCTCCCTGGGCGGGCCTCCGAATGGGAGGGCGATGTCCTGAGAACGAGTCGGCTTCCTTGGCTTCGCCGGCGGCTCGAAAGAAACTGCCCGAGACTCCTCCAGCACACTTTTCCGCAGGAGCTCGAACCTTGCCTCGCGTGCGTGCTTTCTCACAGGGCGGGGCACAGGTCCTACGCTGGATTCATAACAAGGTTAAGAAGGGTGGGCGGGGGTGAAGCTACGTGACGTGTCTTAAAAGCCGTGCACAGTAGCACCTGACAGCATGTCTTGTGGACATCCTAAAGCTACTCCGCTTCGAAAGGCTTTGGAAAGTGGTTTATTGAGCCCGGCCTCGTGCGCCACCGCCAGCTCCGCCGACAGGGTGGCGAGCTGCCTCTCCGCCTACAGAATTGGACAAAAGATGGCTCCAGGTAGAGGCCTGCCCGAGCCCCTTGCCAACAGCTTGAAATCCACATCTTTCAAGCACAACTTGATAGTGGAGGCATGTTGCCTGAGTGGCTGCCCTCTCTTTGTCCTTGAGCTCCATTCGCAGCCTCGAACAGGCCTGCAGCAGCTGCAAATTTGAAGCAGCTCCAACGTGGGCATAAATCCCGCTTGAACTTACCCTGCTGACGGCAACCGCCGACTGTCCCAGACGAATCGCGTGCCCTGTCTTCAGCCGAGCCTGCTCTTGATTCCTCTCGAGCTCACGTTTCTCTTGCAGGGCCTGGGCTGCGCGAGTTGGAGTGCTGGGCTTCAGCCTTGTCACCAGCTCCACACCCCACCGAAAGCCCAAGGACCCAAACGTCGGGTCAGGCCGAGGGCCCAGCTGCAGCGTGCTCCTCGACCACTTTGCTTCGGCCCTTGGGATCTGAAATGCACTCGGCTTTGGGTCACAAGCTCTTCGTAGAAACCCTCGAAGCCGCCTCTTGCCGCTTTTCGATCTCCTCAGCCCGCTTTCGAAGGATTTGGACCTCCACCTTCGAGCCGCGAGGCGGCTGGAACCCCGGAACTGGATCTTTTTAAGGAACTGAATCTAAGTTACCAGAATAGGGATCTATAGTAAACAAAAGTCTGGGAATCTTAACTTAAATTCCTGGACAAGAACAAAGGGTACTTCCGGTGTCAGCCGTTATTCAGGCTTTCTGGGAGCGCGAGGTTTAGGTCCGGGATTCAGCATGTAGGCTTGGGGTAGGTTTGCATGACATGTCTGGGGTAGCTGGTGTCCCGCCGGCGCTTTTTTCAGAGTATCCTTCTCAAACAGCGCAGGGCCCGGGTGCTCACAGGACGGAATCCACAGGTTGCCGTTTGAGTTCTGCTCGAGGCTCTTCTCTGAAGTCTCTTTTCTGTCAGGAGTTCCTGTCTGAGCGAGAATGGTGCATTGTTTCGGCTAAAGTTTAGGGCTACTCGCCACATTCACCGAGCGATTGGCTACCATCCCCAACTAGACACTCTCCTACACCAAGCCTGAACAAATGGCTGAACTGGCGGCCAACAAGCCCTGCGTGGCCTCGCACTCCCGGGCTCGCTGGGGTACCCCCTGGACACGGCGGCCCTGGAAGGCCAAAGCATTGCTCCGGGTCTCTTCCGTCAGAAATCCGAAAACCTCGGGCGCCCCCGAGGTGGGACGGTAAGCATGGCACCAATGCTCCCAATTTTCGGGAGTTCAAACCCACACCCTGAACCAGAGCCTGGTTTTCTCACAGCCAAAAAGAAGCAGGAGGCACAGTGACCTCTAAATCCCGAAACGAAGACGGAGACCAAGTAAGCCCCGTCCTCGAGCGCCCACTCGATCATGGTGAGCTCAGCCTGCTTGCAGCTTAGGCTGCGGCAGAACCAGGCTTCCGGCATCGACATGTTCGACTGGGCTTCCGTTCGGGGCTCATGACTATCAGGAGATGCTCACCGGCCAAACGACTGGCAATGAGAGGCACCGCGACCTGTTGACATATTCTGGCTGCCACCGAGATCAAAGACTTCAACTGGCGCCTTGAAGGATTGAAGCTGCTGGGACAGCGCGCTTTCGCGATACTGCGCCGCCTGTGTGGGCAGATGCCCAGGCTGCGTTGAATCATGGCTTGAGCTTAGCGCTAGCTTTGAAGCTCGACCGTTCAATCTTTCTTCCCGGCATTCTTCTGTTGCTGCTCCGGGCCTCTGAGACAAAGAAGCCACCAAACCCTCAAACAGTGACCCTTTGACACCTGAAAGCTTACGTCCTGACGTGCGAAACACCAAAAGTCTGCACGGCCTCCCGGTTCAAGCGAGAATCGCGCTCCAATCGACGCACCTTGTCGGAGTTCTCTAGAAGAGAAGCTGCGACGCATTTTGGTATCTATCTATCTATCTATCTATCTAACTACTTGCCTATCTATCTATCTATCTATCTACCTATCTGTCCATCTATGTATCTGTCTATCTATTCATCCGTCTATCAATCCATCCATCCATCCATCCATCCGTCTATCCATCTATCTTTCTGTCTTTCTAGCCATCTAATTGAATCTCGCCATCTCCATCTCCCAATTTCTTCATATTTATCTTTCTATTTCTTTAGATCTCAATATTCCCCGATCTTACCATCTCTCTTTATCCTTCGAACTATCGTTGTGTCCCTCTGTCCATCCGTTTGTCTATCACTCATTCGATCTGTCAATCTACATACCTAGCTATCTATCTGGCCAGCTATCTAGCTTGCTGGCTATCTAGCAGGTCTAGAGTCTAGGCTGTGCAGGGCATTCGTGAACACGAAGCCAAGTCAGGAACACACGTGCTGCTACACCAATGCCAGGTTTGCGCCGTCAAGCTGAGATAATGCGCTTTGTACTTTTGATCCACCACGGTGAAACGGCGAAACCCAAAAAAACTTCAACAAGGATGGTCAGCTGAGCTCAAGTCATCATCCACGTTCAGCGCCGCCGAAAGTGCGGCAAACCGATCTGACACCGCGGCACCTTGTGTTTCGGGTCTCAAGGCATCGTGCATCAAGCCGTCAAGCAACATACAGCGTTGATGCGACCTTACAACCACTAGGCTCCTCTTGCGGTCGCTTCACCAGCCAATATCCTCATGATTCGATTACACAGATACCGCCATGAACCATCATGAAAGGACCAAGCCAAAAAAACTTCCTAGCATTGGGACTCACCGGCAGTCACAGGGCCTGGGGGCCCAGAGAACGCCGGCGCTGATTCCCGCACCACTGCCCATGCATGCCACTGAATCGGCGGCTGCTGCTACCCTTCTACACTGGGTTTCGCTGTGTTCATGCCTGCAGGCTTTGGGAGTTTGGCAGGCCACCTCACCACCCGTGCAAGGCCTGGGCCACATCTTGGGGCTGCTGCGGGATTGACAAGGTTGGCTGGGGTTCCTGGGCTTAGGCTTAAGATTTATGATTTGCGTCTGACGGCTTAGATCCTTAAATCCACACGCTTGTTTCGCTACAAATTACTGCCCTAGTCAGGTGAAACTTCCAACCATCTTTGACAGTGGCACCCATTGGATTTTCAGTGGGCACGGGGTCGGCGGAAGACTTCTGGTTACGGCACCCGAGCAGACACAATCCGGCGAGGAAGATGCGGATCTCTTTCGAATCAAGCTGGGAAGCTCTTCGGGGTGGTGGCGCAAAAGCCTTCGTTTCGTGGGGCCACACTCAAATCGGACTTCGCATCAATGTTGGCCGCGTGTTGTATGAGATTGCATAGAAACTCGCCGTCTCGTTCCATCGATCCGTGAAGTTAACTTCAAAGCCATGGTTCAGAAGGAATCTCACCATTGTCATGTTGCCTCGTGCTGCTGCATGATAAAGGGGAGTCTGCTTGTTGCTGTCGACGCCGTTGAGATCAACACCCATGTGAATGCATTGTCTCGTCAATGGCTCTTAGCCACGGCGAATTCGAGCGGCGATGAAAAACGAGAATCTCTGCTTCCAGGGGCTGTATCGCCGCGACATATCTGAGTTCACGAGAGCTGTTTCGGACTTTGAAAAAAACAGTGCATCCCGGTCGCTGTGTGTCGTGTGTGACAAAACATTCTCGGGCCCGAGTCTCTGCACGGGAGTTCCCATCAAAAGCAATTGCATGCACAGGTCAACGAAAAATTGAAATCCAGCCGAAGAGCTGACGCCCTCCTCCACAGTCACGAGTCGCTCGCGAAGCCGCTGCTCCTCCTGGCAGAATAGGACTCTCTGCCATGCCAAGACATGCTACATGGTGAGCATCACCATGCTTACCACTCTCTTGCTACGACAGGGCTATGTCTGAGACTACCATTGTTTCCTCTTACGAAAGTGTTGAGATTTGGCATGCATGCGGTTTGAGTGTTTCGCCTGCGTGCATAGCGGTTCAACAACAGGAAGAAATTGGACGCAAGGAAAGAATGAAAGGGCCCGAGTTTAAACCGATAGGTGTGCAAAGCTAGATCAAGCCCCCAACAACCTGTCGTCCATAACCCTAAACCTGACACCGGAAACCTGGCTTGACAACCCAAGCCTTAAAAACCCTGAACATAAATTCACCTCAGATCCTAAATCCGGCAACCCAAAAACTCTCGACCTCTCAATCCTGAACCACCGACCCCTAACCTTCACACATCTAGCAATTCAACTGGTCCCAGAACCCCTAAGCCCTAAGCCTTTCTCAGCCAATCTGGAACATACGTTGACACAGCACACTATGCTGCAATACTCTACAGTAGTTAAATATTCTTGTTTTTATAGATATATAATAGCAAAAATAATAACAAAAACAACCGCATAATGACAATAAAAATTAACATGAAAAACTGCTCGAAATAATCATCATAATCACAATCGTTGCTATTTTCTAGTGATAACAACAATAGCAACAATCAGAACAATAATAATCACAAAAAATAACAGGAATGACAAGAAGAAGAAGAACAAGAAGAGTTTACGACAATATACTGTAATACTAGTACGGCGACCGCAGTTGTAATGATGTATTAATGTACTTCCTCGACGGAGTTCGAACCCCGGCCTCGGACAGCGCTTCAGCGGTGGGCAGCCGCGCTGCTGCCGCGACGGACTCGCCGAGCTCCTCTTGGTTTTAGGGCTTGGGGTTTTAAGGTTCGGGGTTTCGGGTTTGGGGTGTCGGGTTGGGGTTTCGGGTTTGGGTTTAGAGTTTAGGGTTTCGGGCTTGGGGCCCAGGGGATGTGGCTTAGAGATTTTGTGACGATTTTCCTGGCCTCTGAGCGGTTTCTACAAGGAGTCTGCATTAACGCAAAAGCGCTGTACGAAGTTCAAGCGTCTCAGCTACACGACTATTGGGATCTCGGACTGGGTCTCAATGCATGTATTCAGGAACTGGATTCAACGTCAAGACTTACGGAGTCTATGAGCTTATCGACAACAAATCCCTCAGCCCCAAACCCTGGCCTATGAAAAGGCAGTTCTGCTGGGTCCTGCTGCCGGGCTTGCACCTCGACCTCGAACTCCCGCAAGCAGAGCCTGGGCAGACGAGTTCCAAGACCGGTGCTCGTGAGACGCGAAAATCAAGTATTAGATTGTAACATGTTGTAAATATCCGTATGTATGTACGTAATATATATATATATATGGAGTAAATCTGAGTATCTTGTAAATCACGGCATTCTCGTGTCAAGGCCCCAACGCAGGTCCCACCGTGGATTTTTGCTCACATCGGAGTTCCTGCCCTCCATGCCACCCTGCAAGTAGAGCCCACACTTGAAAGCAACCTTCTGGTTTGGATTTGGGTTTAAGGGTTACCACCAAGCTCTATACTACTCGCCTTATGGCTAGCTTTAGGACTGCTGCTGTTCTGTAAGGTGACGCTCGTCATTCCTACCAGCAGCCCTTTTGAACAAATTGAGTATATGTGCGATTCTCACGAATGCTCATGTTCTGGTTGTTGAGCTTGCTGCTGTTTTCGATCATCGGCAAACACCCTCCAGGACGCGTCGGGACAGCATCGACCCGTGCCCTGAAGCGGCCCGGAAAAGGCATCTTGGGGTGGTTCTCAACTCGGTGGGAAATGCCGCTCATAACTGCAGCACGATGTCGAAAGGACTCACGAAGACAGGACCAACTGGGGTTAAGGATCTGAGATTTGGGGTTTAGGGTTCATGGGCTCTGTGATGATTTCATGGCTCTTATCAGCACTGGAACGGCAAATCTCTGAGCATGAAACTGATTGTCATTCTCCTTCGCCTCCAACCGTCGTGCTTCCTCCTGAGCAGCCACCAAAGCCCAAACCACAGCAACCCAACAACGAAAATCCTGAACCTTGGACGTAGACCCAAAACATTCAGGCGTCCAATCCCAAGATCACACGACGTAAAAGGAAGACCGAAACAAAAACGAAAAAAGCGCTTCCGTCGCGGGAATCGGTACTGCAAATAATCGGATGGACAAAATGCGCGTCTAGATTCTGAGTAAAACCCCCCCTAGCAGCTCTCAGACAAGGACAAGGAACCAGAAGCTGCTAGAAGATGTGCCAGCACCACCACCCGCCATGAGCAGTAGCCATGAAGCAACACACGATCCGAAACCCCAAACCCTTGATAGTACCCCTTCTGGAACCCTTATTATAGTAAAAGAAAAACGAAACGCCAGGACCAGGCGGTGCCTCCACAGCCGCCTTCGCTGCCTCCGCCTGCGCTACTCCGGAGCTGAGCTCGGCGAGCTGCGTCTGCAGGACCTGGGAGTGGAGCGTTCCGGGGGGCTTTCAGGGCTTTCGGGGTCTGGGGATTCGGTGTCGGAGCTTTGGGTGGCGCAGTTTTCGGCTCCATCAAAGCTTCGACAAGCCCCGACCGCCGAAGACACCCGTCAAGTCAACATGCACCCAACATGACATAATACATGTACGAGTATATTCGCCTCGGCCCGGGCCGAAGCGGTCAGAGGTTCCTATTCGGATTCCCTCTATTCCCCACCTCTTAATCCCCTCCCCACTGACCCCCACCATTGTGGGGGGGGGGGGGGGGG